TCATATAGTATTTGATAAAACAATATGATTTGTTTGTTTCCATTTATTAGTATCCACTTAGTATTTGAAGCTCATAAAATTAATGATTAAAAAATAAAATTTCAGTCTATATATGCAGACGATGCCAACACAAACTAATATTTATAGTGATATATATGCAATGTTAGTTAACAAATCTTTCAACTTTGATATTGATCGTTAAAGGAATATGAGTGCCATATACTAAAGGTGTGCAGAGAAATGCACATTACAAAGTGATATTAGAGTTCAACTGAAACAAAAGTGTCTTTGAACTATAACTTAGAAGGTTTAACGGTTTTGGTCCGCAATGAGAAGATCACGAGGTAATTGTAATGCATATAAGTTCCGCAAATAAGATAGAAGATGAGGAAAGTTGAATCTAGGTGAATTAACACTATTAGACAATGTATATAATTAGCATTTTCAAGAATTTTGGTATGTTTGAGATTTGATTGTGTATCTATATATTTTGGTGGTGAATGTAATCGAATCACAAAGAGTCTTAACTACTGGCAATTGATTTTTTTTTTTTATCGGTTCTCATCTTGATCCCGATGGCAATTTTGACGGTGAGTGTTATAGAGAATCACAAAATGACAAAAGAGCCAAATTAGGAGATTATAGAGGCATTATGGATTTATGTTGTACTCAGAATTGGGCCAATGCCCACAAAATACTAATTTATGAATTGGGCCCAATTCATATATTTTCCTGATTATTGAATTTTATAAATTTATGCTAATTCTCACAAGATTTTCTTTTCTTTTCCTCTATATGTTGCTTTTTGGTAATGTGAGATTATTGCATTAACTATATTTCATATTTTGTGATATCCTTTTGGTTCTTTTCTCCTTTTTTGGTATTTATGATATTATGATTTTTAAGAAAACCATACATAAAACTTAAGGAATTCCTCATCAAATTAAGCACTTCTTAAAAGTAAAAAAATTGGATATTCTTTTTTTTGTCGTCTAGATTTATTATTAATTGCAAATTATGAGAACTGTTACATAGACGATTCTACAACTGAAATTCCTTCCGACCCTTACTAGATTCACGACAGACTACACTTCTTTCTTCGTAATCTTGATGAATACCTTCAATGATCCACGACCTGGCGACACTTCCTTCTATGCGTAGAATCCTGGCGAACGGCTATAATTGTACATCGCTGGAGATCTCTTGCACACTTGCCTCCATTAATCTGCAAATTTGTTAATAAATCGCAATACCTGGGACTCGAACCCCAGACCTTTTGGTGTAGAAGCATTAATCAACTCTTGGTCAACCAATGGGCCAAGGGGGTTTCCACAAAAAATTGGATATTCATAGCTGGGAATTTGATCCAATAATCAAATTCTAGTAAATAAAAAGTCTGAGTCTTTATTTATAGAAAAAGTAAAATATCCAGTTATATAAAAGAAAATGTGAGGTTTTTAAATTTGTGTAATAGTTTAAAAAAAAAAGAGAGCAATATTCCAAATTTTAATACAGATTCATAAGAAGGATCCATAAGACCATATTTATCGGGCCAACTATGGCCCTGTTCTTAGAATATTAAAATAATAAACATTGGGTTTAGAAGGTTTAGAACAGGTGAAGTGGTCTTGGGCTAGATCAGTTTTAAGCCTGTTCTCGGGGTGACGTGTCGCGGATTGGGTATCATTTTTGATATCGAAAATCTTTTTTTATTTGGGCCAAAATCGAAACACATATTTGATTGAAACACAGAGACCAGTACCAGTATCAATCGGAAAAAAAAAAACCAATTCGAGAATCTAAAAACCCAGAACAATTGTATTTTGTGTTTCATTTTTTTTTTCAATCAATTTTAATATAAGTTTCGTTTTTAATGTTTTCAATTTTAAAAATAATTTTTGTAATTTTTAAAAAACATTTAAAGTTTTTGATTATTAAATTATTAATTTATAAAATCTAATCATGTTCTACCAATAATCACTTACTTTACAAAAGATCTTAATTAAAGCTCTTATAATATTTTAATATTATTTTTCCCTTAAGATCAATCTTCAAAAATATACCTTTGCATATGCCAGAAATTGACTAAACCGGATCTGGTCTTCGAAATAGTGACGACGCGTGTCCCCCGGTCAGAGAATTGCCGTCACAATCACGCGGAAAAAGTGCGACAAATCAAACCTTAACCGTTAAAACCACGTCGTTTTATATTCCCACAACCGAACCCCCTTTCCTTCGTTCGTCTCTCTATAATAAAATCTCTTGAGATTTTTGCAAAATTCGTCACTTCAATTTCAATTTTCAGATCTCAAACTTTTTTTCTCTTTTCCGATTCCAATCTTCTCTCGTCTGCTTTCCTCAAAGGTACGTTTCGTCTTCCTTCTCATAGCTTCCGAAGAATCATTCCCAGATTTAGGGTTAGGTATTTCAATTCTCTGATCGGATTCCAAACCTGTTGTTTCACTGTTCTAAATCTAATGGGAATTTCTCATGTTTTCTCCAGGTTTTTTCATCACTTTATGCTTCACAAGCGAGCTAGTGAAGCTAACGATAAGAACGATAATAGCATCATCGGTTCCGATTTAGCATCATCTAAGAAACGCCGTATCGATATCACTGATTCTTCTTCGTCTGATAATAAGTCTTCGATTGTTGCTTCTGGTAGTAGTAGTAGTAGCGGATTTCACGGCGATAGCGTCGCTCACCAAATCGACATGGCTTTTGGTAATTCGAACCGTCAGGAGATTGATGAAGATCTGCATAGTCGGCAGCTCGCCGTCTATGGTCGTGAGACTATGAGGCGTCTCTTTGCTTCGAATGTTCTCATCTCGGGGATGCACGGGCTTGGTGCCGAGATTGGTATGTATTTCGTATGCGTTGTTATTAGAAGCTGTGATTGTTGGTATTCTTCAACATCAATCTTCTTCATTCGTTTTTTTCAGCTAAGAATCTTGTTCTTGCTGGTGTGAAGTCTGTGACCTTGCATGATGAAAGAGTTGTAGAGCTATGGGACTTATCTAGCAACTTTGTTTTCTCGGAGGATGATGTTGGCAAGAATAGAGCGGATGCTTCTGTTCAGAAGTTACAGGATCTTAACAATGCTGTGGTTGTCTCTAGCTTGACCAAAAGCTTAACTAAAGAGGATCTTTCTGGTTTCCAGGTTGGTAGATAACTCGTTTGTCCTGTTATTGGTGAGGCTTTTGTGTACTGTATTGTTCGGTAGATGACTTGTGAGTTTATGATAACACTGTGAATGAATGGATTGTATAGGAGTGGGTTGTCGATTGTCGTTGCATATAAGAAATGGTTGTTGTCTCCTTTGGTGTTAGGCTAGTTCTATTGTTTATTGGTATTGATATGGAAGATTGGTGTCTCTTGTTGGCTGGTTTCACGCTGATAGAATCTACTTTTTTGTGAAACAGGTTGTTGTTTTCTCTGACATAAGCATGGAAAGAGCAATCGAATTTGATGACTATTGTCACAGCCATCAGCCTCCTATCGCTTTTGTCAAGGCTGATGTCAGGGGTCTTTTCGGCTCTGTCTTTTGTGATTTTGGGCCTGAATTTGCGGTTCTTGATGTTGATGGAGAGGAACCCCATACAGGCATCATTGCGTCTATCTCTAATGAGAACCAGGCATTTATTTCCTGTGTCGACGATGAGAGGCTTGAATTTGAAGATGGCGACCTAGTTGTTTTCTCAGAAGTTGAGGGTATGACAGAATTGAATGATGGGAAACCAAGGAAGATAAAAAGTGCACGGCCATATTCATTCATTCTTGATGAGGACACTTCAAACTATGGAACATATGTGAAGGGTGGTATTGTCACTCAAGTGAAACAGCCAAAGTTGCTGAATTTCAAGCCACTGAGGGAAGCGCTTAAAGATCCAGGGGATTTTCTATTTAGTGATTTCTCTAAGTTTGACCGCCCTCCACTTCTTCACTTAGCATTCCAGGCACTTGATCATTTTAAAGCTGAAGCTGGCAGATTTCCTGTTGCTGGCTCAGAAGAGGACGCTCAGAAGCTTATATCGATTGCCACAGCCATCAATACCGGGCAGGGTGATTTAAAGGTGGAGAATGTTGACCAGAAGCTTCTACGACACTTTTCCTTTGGAGCCAAGGCTGTCCTGAATCCCATGGCTGCAATGTTTGGCGGTATTGTTGGACAGGAGGTTGTTAAAGCTTGCTCTGGAAAATTTCATCCTCTCTTCCAGGTAATATTTATTTTCTATAGACTTGTGGGAACACGTATTTTAGTCTTTGCATGCCAAATTGCCAATTTCCCTGTTCGAGTTAAGAATTTTAAACACAAGAATTAAAACCCAAAGCTCTCTCTTGTTAAAACCGAATCAAAGTAACAAGACAAAAGTTGAATAGCACCCAAGAGTAATAAAATCCAAAGCTCTCTTCATATATTAGAAGCTAAAAAAAAGCTGTTTAGATAAAGTAAATAAGGAAATAGAAACATTATCTTATACGTATCCCCCTTTTTCTAATGTTTATGTTGCGTGAAGTTACAGCTGCTTACTCTTTTTTTGACACTTGCATATTGTTTATAGTTTCGTATTGGGATCTAATATTGAAATTCTTTTTTTTTTTATCAGTTTTTCTACTTTGATTCAGTGGAGTCACTACCCACTGAACCTCTGGACTCGAGTGACTTTGCACCAAGAAACAGCCGGTATGATGCCCAAATATCTGTATTTGGGGCCAAGTTCCAGAAGAAACTTGAAGATGCTAAAGTTTTCACAGTAGGGTCTGGTGCTCTTGGCTGTGAGTTCTTGAAAAATATGGCTCTGATGGGGGTTTCTTGTGGAAGCCAAGGGAAGCTGACAGTGACAGATGATGATATAATCGAGAAGAGTAACCTCAGTCGTCAATTTCTGTTCCGTGACTGGAACATCGGACAGGCTAAATCCACAGTTGCTGCTTCGGCTGCTGCTGCTATAAATCCCCGCTTCAACATTGAGGCCCTGCAAAACCGTGTTGGCGCTGAGACTGAGAATGTATTTGACGATGCCTTCTGGGAGAACTTAACTGTTGTCGTCAATGCACTGGATAATGTCAATGCGAGGCTCTATGTTGATTCGAGGTGCTTGTATTTCCAGAAGCCTCTCCTTGAGTCTGGAACTCTTGGTGCAAAGTGCAACACACAGATGGTTATCCCACATCTAACTGAAAATTACGGTGCCTCAAGGGACCCACCAGAGAAACAAGCCCCCATGTGTACAGTGCATTCGTTTCCGCATAACATTGATCACTGTTTAACTTGGGCTCGCTCTGAGTTTGAGGGTCTGCTGGAGAAGACTCCCGCTGAAGTGAATGCATATCTCTCTAGCCCTGTTGAGTACACTAACTCAATGATGAGTGCTGGTGATGCTCAGGCGAGGGAGACATTGGAGAGGATTCTTGAGTGCCTTGACAAGGAGAAGTGTGAGACCTTCCAAGACTGCTTAACCTGGGCTCGATTGAGGTATTATCACTCTCTTAATAGTTAGGTTTAGATAGTCTAGTCGTAATTATGGAATGAAAGAATGTATGGTGTCTTACTCATGTACTGCTACAGTCTCTATTTTTTATGCTTTTGGCATGTGCTTCACCCAGGGTTTGTTAATTATTCTTTGAAAAAATCATTAGGAAACTAAAAATCAATTTTTAGGAACAATGTTAGAAGGTAACTTCATTTCGCAACAGGTTACAACTAATATGTAGACGTCGGAAGAAATTGTTTCCATCCTTTGTGGAGTCTGTGATTTTTGCAATCATTTATGTGTTTCTTATGTTATGTGACTAGGTTTGAGGATTACTTTGTGAACCGTGTCAAGCAATTGATATACACATTTCCTGAAGATGCTGCGACTAGTACCGGATCTCCATTCTGGTCTGCTCCAAAAAGATTCCCTCGTCCACTCCAGTACTCGTCTTCTGATCCAAGTCTCCTTAACTTTATCACAGCAACTGCTATTTTACGAGCAGAGACATTTGGGATCCCAATACCTGAGTGGACCAAGAACCCAAAGGAAGCAACCGAAGCTGTGGACAGAGTGATAGTCCCAGACTTTGAGCCAAGGAAAGATGCGAAGATTGTGACTGATGAGAAAGCCACCACTTTAACCACTGCTTCGGTGGACGATGCTGCAGTCATCAACGATCTCATTGCTAAGATCGAGCAGTGTAGGCGTAACTTGTCTCCAGACTTCAGGATGAAACCAATTCAGTTTGAAAAGGTATATATCCCCCAATGGTTATTCGTCTTCACTGATATTGACTTGTCTTGTTTAAAATTTTTTGCTTAGTGTTTTCATTTTGAATCTGATGTGTTTGTAGGATGATGATACAAACTATCACATGGACGTGATAGCGGGACTAGCCAACATGAGGGCGAGGAATTACACCATCCCTGAAGTCGACAAGCTGAAAGCAAAGTTCATCGCAGGGAGAATTATTCCAGCCATTGCTACTTCAACAGCCATGGCTACTGGGCTTGTCTGCCTCGAGCTGTACAAGGTCCTTGATGGAGGACACAAAGTGGAAGACTACAGAAACACGTTTGCCAACCTGGCACTTCCACTCTTCTCCATGGCTGAACCAGTTCCACCAAAGGTGGTGAAGCACCGTGACATGGCTTGGACTGTTTGGGACAGATGGGTTCTCAAGGGAAACCCAACTCTTCGTGAGGTGTTACAGTGGCTGGAGGACAAAGGGCTTAGCGCATACAGCATCTCTTGTGGAAGCTGTCTTCTGTTCAACAGTATGTTCCCAAGGCACAAGGAGAGGATGGACAAGAAGGTTGTGGATCTGGCTCGGGATATCGCGAAAGTGGAGTTGCCGCCTTATCGCCACCATCTTGATGTAGTGGTGGCTTGTGAGGATGAAGATGACAATGATGTCGATATTCCTCTCGTCTCTATCTACTTCAGGTGAGAATTTTCAAACGAAAAACAGACAGAATGAAAGAAAGATGAAACTCTTGAGAGCAAATTTGTGTGTTTTTGTCTCTGCATCTGCCCTACGTATTTTCTTTGGATGCTTGTGGGTGAGATGACTGATTTTTAGATTGCGAGGGATAGAGACCCATTTTATCATCTCTCGTTCTATTTCTAGTCTTTCTTTCTATGTACAATTGCTGATGTGTGTTTTACACACCCGTTACCATCTATCTGAACATGCTTTCTATCAAACAAATCTCGAGCTTTCCTTTTTCCATGTCTTCTTGCTAGTAGTGTTTCACGATAAGAATACGAAACAAATCTCCCTTAAATAAGAATTACAGAGAATAAGTTGAAAGCAAAGAACTAAAAATATAATTCTAATGTGAAGTCTAGAGCACCACTTTAGACTGATACATAATGCTCATACTGATGATAAATGTACCTTTTGCATATTAATTCTAGTTTTCGTTTATTTGAGAGAGGTTCAATTTATTTGGGACACTACAATAAGTACACAACGCTTATTATTTCCTACGAAAAAAATATTTTCTTTTAAGAATAGATTCAGTTTGAAGTAAATAAAAATATTTAGGTATTACTGAGACGGATTTTTGACTGAAAGTGCCACAAATGTAAGAGTTCTGAGTTCTGACGATTTGAGACTCAGACTTGACTCGATCACCAAGATTTATCAGCACCTTCATCGAATTGGCCAGACCCAACAACCCGAAAATCAAGCTGTTTCTGATGCTTGGTACGTCTTCTTTCATCAAAATTATCCCATCCCTCGAACTACCACAACACAAATATCCTTGTCTCAGTTCAAAAAAACGAAGAAAGAACTATAGACTCAAACATGAGACTCTGAACAAACAAACCTGGCGGAGAAATTCAACGGTTATCTCTGTGTTGTGGAGTCCTAAAGTTGAGAGCTGCAAACACATCTTAAATAAAGCCGTTGGCAGCGTCTTCAATCCCGTGTTGTTCAGCTCCAGTGTCTTAATACCAAAACACTAAGTCAGACTTTGTAAACCCATGTCCATGGAATAAAGAGTAGTCAAAAGATTGATTTGATTTACCCTTAGATTGCGCAGTTTGGTGAATGTCTCGGGAAGTTCTGATAGAATGTTTGCTGAAAGATCAACCTCCATGAGGAAGGAACAGTTTCCGATACTCTCGGGAAGGCTAGTTATTCTGCAGAACACAAAAAAGATTGAGAGACCATTGAGAAAAGTAATAAATGAAATAACAATGCTAAGACTGTAACTTGTGTCTTTTCGATCAATTAAAAGATATGAGTAAAGATTATTTGCCTGTTATTGTTTGCTTTCAAGATCTCAAGCTGTGTTAGAAGTCCTAACTCATTTGGTAAACTTGTCAACTTGTTGTTGGTGACATCGAGCTGTCTAAGAGATATCAGTGAACCCACTGCTGCTGGCAGAACAGTTAGACTGCAAAAGCCCAATCACAAAAACGATTTCCTCATCTAAAACCATTCGACATTCACAAGTATAATGTTGTGTTCTTAAGTCTTAGTGATTACGGTTTGTGCATAACTTCAAATCAATTTTTCCTTTAGTTTACGTTGTCGAAAAACTTGTAAAATGGTAGCACTGAAGGCATGTCTGATATCTACTAAGAAAGACAAGTTCCGAGAGTGAAAGCGAAAAACTCACTTGTTATGGCTAATGGACAGAAGCATCAGGCGCTTCAGAGATGCTATCCCTTCCCATTGAATGGATTCATCCGATAGGCCATTTCCTTGAAGGAGCAATTTCTACAAATGCACTCATATTATAATCCTTAATTCTTCACTAAACAAAAAGATTTGAAATATACATGAAACTTAGGATTTCTCACCTGCATAGAACCAAAGGAGCTGATTTTGGCAGGTACTTCTTTGATGAAATTTTCACTGATGTCAAGTACTCTGACTCCAGATCCACAGTCCCACACTTCTTCGGGTATTTCCTTTTCCACAACAAAGAAAACTCAACTAATAAACAATTTAGCAACTAAAAGATAATTCCAAACCAAAACCACGATAATGAACATGTAAGACCTCTATATACCTTCAAATTGGCTTGAGCTAAAGCAATAACTCCTGTGGCTTTCCATCGATCAGTGCGCTTCTTGTCTACAAGGAGACTAGGTTTTCTCTGATCTACTTTATCAGATACAACAGTTCTAGAGATTGGCCTTGTACTAGCTTCCTTAAGTACTGGACCTTCCTGTTCATTTTCAATACAACAACACCTTAACCTCTATTACATTGATCCTCTAATGATCAAGAATCCAAATTTCAAGATTATCTTTACACAACTATGCAACATACAAAAGTAAGAACACTGACCCCTTGATGCAGACCTTGAGAAGCCATTAACATGAGTTTGGCACCACTTCCCACATCAGATTGTTTCAAAGTCGACGTTTCGACCAAAACCTTACCTTTCAAGAAACAAAAATCAGATTTTGAAAAAGACCCATTACAAGGAATCAGCTCGATTAGTGAGAAAAGTAATCAAATTTCAATAAGAAAACCTTTGAAGATGAGCTTCTGGCCACGAGGAAGAACGTTGGTGATTGGTTGTAACAGAGACTTAAGATCTTTGACTGTACAATCTTGTGATACCGAAAGTGGTATTGATTTGCCTCCGAATTTGACGGTAAGCTTAATCGTGGAATCTGCCATTGTTGGATCTTCGAGCTCCATCACAAAGTGATTCTTACCTTTCTTCTTCCGGCTTTGCTTTTACGAAGAAACAGAGGTCCTCGAGTCATTAAAGTTTTTAGTGGGCTCACTATAAATATTTTAATACAGGCCCATTTAAAACAATTGGGCCGTTGGAACTTCAGCATATTTGAGACAAACAAATATTCAAGGGCCAGAATTAAAGTGGATTTGTTTTTGACGGGTGATGGACAATCACAATCCAGTTTACGATTCGATTCTTTTGATTTTGACATTTTTATTTAACTTGGAAGTAGACTGTTGACCAATATTTAATAAATTATTAGGTAATCATCCATGTTATATACGAGATAAATAAATTCTTCAGTCTCTCATTTAATATTTAGAATATTTTTATTCAAATATTATAGTAGAATTTAATAATACTATTCTGAAATGATTGTTTTGGTAAGTTTAAGAATATTCGAATGTGTTTGGCAATTAGAATTAGAATAATCAAAACAGGTAAGAGATAATATTTAGGAATTAATTTGTTTGGTAATAAGTGTAGTAAAACTAGAAAAATGAAAACTAAAATAGGTGAGAAAAGATGTGGATTTGACATGTCATAAAAAACATTATCTTTTAATATATATAAGATTTTTTTCCAGTGAGAATCGAATTTGTACCTTTCTAAAAACTGAAACCATACAAAGTTGTTTCTAATTTGATTTTTATTCTTTGGTTTGATATAAATTTGTTCCATATATTTTTAAGATTGACGTAAATATACCAAAATATTAAAACATAATGATTAATTTAAGGCTGATGAAAGAAAATGAATAAATAGTAACAAAGAAGAAAAAAAAAACGACCAAAACGGAAAACACATAGAAACATATGTAAATGAAAATTTGAACATAAGGATTAATTTAAAGAAAAAATCATTTATTAAATTTAGTTTATAAATTATATTAAAATTAATATTATATTGCTTTTGCGTTTGTGGGGTTACGACTATGAAGGTTTATTGGAATATAAATATATATGCCATGCATATTGTTTAATGTATATGCTGCCAATTATGTTTTCTCATATATGGAGTACAAATTTTGAACAAATAAAGAATCCACAGCACATTAGAAATTCTAGACAAACAACTAGAAATCCACAACACATACAATATGTGGAATATGAAAAAAAAAAATCTTACAAATGAAACAATGGCCGAATTAATTTTTCATGACCAAAAGTATTTGATGGTAAAAACGTCGGTGTCTAGATCATGTTAAAAATTTGAACACTCCCTAGCTACAATATGATGGTATGTTGAGTTTCCGTTTGTTAGAGCTAGAAATTGTTTTTTGAATCCAAATTGTCAATCTATATGTTGACAAATAACTGGAAATTATATTTTGGCGGTAGGAGTTAGAAAAAAAAGTTGAAAGAGATTTTTGTTTCACAACAGATTTGTGGACAACTCGTGGTAGCAGTGACAGATCTAGGAAAATTGTTTGATGGGGTCAAAATAATTTTGTTCAAAAATTATTGAATATTTATCTCACTTTTAAATTGTTTCATATAATGGGTTTAATCTTACAATTGAGTTGGGTTCAAATTTATAATTGAGTTGGGTTCAGAAAAGTAGTTTTGTCCCGTCGGCTAGAGCTTGAAGAATTCCCAACTGGTCGACGTATTCAGGTCCAATACGTTGTTGTATCCCTGCAGGTATTTCTCTTTCTTTACAGTTAGACTAAAATATATTTAAAAACTTATGTAAATGAGAACGATTTTAAAAATTTTATTGGTGTCAATTGCACCCATAACACTCAACTTGCCTCCGCCCATGCGTGGCAGTGTCACAGGGTATATCTGTTTGACTACCTATTATATTGATGATAGTTGGAGGTTGAACAACAAAATTTTGGCGAAAAACCTTTTTTCAACTGTTTAGCTTTGTGTGATATAATACCTCTACATACCAGTGAAAAATTAGCTAATAAAATTTTTGGTTCCTGATGATTAGTGGTAATGGATTATTGTGTGATGAGAAGTTTTTCTTGTTAGATATTATTAAACAGTCAGTAGCTGCTGATCTAATGGTTATGAGATGTTTATGTTAAAGTAAGGCAGCTAAGGCTATTGTTTGGCTTCCCGCCAAATATTGTAGCGGGAAAAAAGAGTTGAGCGAGAGTTGACTTTTTAGGTACATATTCCAAAGCCAAACAAACCATAAACAGATTATTGTTTTATAATATTTTTATGAACAATAAAAAAGAAGCTTCATCTCTTCCGGTGAAGAACACAATTGACAAAAGAAGAACTGTTGTCTACACAATCCACCAACCTAGCATTGATATCTTTGAAGCTTTTGATGAACTTCTTCTTATAAAGAGAGGAGGACAAGTGATTTACACTGGTCCTTTAGGTCGAAACTCTCACAAGATTATCGGATATTTCCAGATCAGATTCTACATTTAGTTTGTCAAGATTTTGATATTAAAATGTAAGAACTTTCACAATACTCTTTTGAGAAACCGCAGGCGATTCATGGAGTTCCAAAAACAGTTAGTAGCTGCTCAAGTTTTGAATCTTATTATGCAAGAAGGACTATCAGTAGCCGTTGATCTTTTGAAAAACATTTAAGATAATGTCAAGTTTGTCAGAGCATATGATTCAAGAGAAGAAGCCTTTGCAGCATGTGTAGAGAGTGTAAGGATTAAGAGTGGAAATGGGTTATTTTTAGATATTCCTACTCGATTGAATTCGACTTATGATATGCTTACTAGAGCTCTGAAGTTTCGTAAGGCGTTTTCTAGTTTGAAAGCATGTGTCAGAAATTACAAATCATTGCCTTCAAAGGATGAGTGGAATCGTGGAGAGAGAATATGTGACTTCTTGAAGTTTTTTAGTATCATCACTACTTACTTCTCAGGTGTCAAATATCCTAAAGCTGATGTGTATTTTCTTCCAAGTATAGAAAATTGAGGGTCTATTGAAGAAATATGCAGACTATGTGATTTGAGAGTGGAAAAGATGGCTAGGAATATGCAGTTAAAAGTTTGATAAGTATTGGGATATCATTCTAGCTACGGAAGCTATTTTAGATCCAGGTTGAAGGTACAAATTCTTAAGTCAGCTTATGATAAAATGAATGCGAGTACTTATGAGGAAAAGATCAAAGTTGTAATGCAGAATTTGAAGGATCTTTATTAAAAACACAAAGAAAACACTTGGACTTCTTCTTCCACCTTCTCAACAATACCAACTCCACATGAACTTTTTACTAAATCACCACTAGATGATGATCCGAATTATATAAGTTTTTTTCTCCATTCTTACATTATTACAAGTTTGTATCGTACTCATCAAATTTTTCTAACTATTGTATATATCATACATGATCTTTTTGAGCTTGAGAAGAGCATACAACCTGGTTGGTTCTGACAACACTAAATCGAATTTGCATAATTATTTGGATGAACCAAGGTTAAATTTGAGGTCTTTTACAGACATGTGGGTTCTGAGCTATCTAAAAAGCAATGGAAAACGCTACGTACGGTGATTTGGCTTCTATAGCTTGTGATGTGCTTAGCCTTCCCATCATTATAGTGGCAGCATAGTTATCGTTTAGTATTGAAGATAGGTCGTTTACAAAAACTGCCTCCTTCCAAGAAATGTTCAAGCCTTGCTCTGTATCCGAAATTGGATATGTGGTTATGCTAAGTTAGAAGGTAAAAGAATAGTCTATATATTATGTAATCAACTTCATTTGTTTGGTTGATTTATATTTTCAAATTTTAGGTGACATTAAAAGGAACTTTGATGATGAAATTAAGGGTACTACAGTGATGGCAAGTAGCTCATGATTATTAGACTCAAGTGATATTGGAAGAACTAGAAGAGGGAGAATGATAAGAAAATTGTTGTTTTTATGACTTCAGTTTTTTTGGTTTTATGACATGGTTTAAAACTTGTTTCTGTTTTTGGTTTTGATACTCGTCTCTATTTCTTTCCGTGCTTAACTTATATTGTCACTTAAATTTCGATACCTTAAAACCTTTATGGAGTTATGGAATTTTCGCCATACTCTTGCTAAAAAATCTCGTTAGATGAATCACAAACTTAGTAAAAATATAATTTAATTCTATTTATGCTCTTACTTACCAAACTATAGTTTAAATATGCTCTAACTTAATATATATATATATATATATATATATATTAAACAAAATTACTTTTTTCGGTTTGCACTGTTGGTACTGGATTTTTCGGATTTTAAAATTTTGAGTTTTTTGGGCAAACTCATTTCGAGTTCGAGTTTGGGCCGGACTTGTTTTTTTAACCCACCGCAATATCCCTTGTAGAATGCTAATGTGCATTGCACCTATATCCCATTTTATATTAAGCACGAATCCTAATCATTTGTTACGCTTGCTCTTTTTTTGTTAAAAGGTATTCAATTTTATAAAGAAATGCTAATGGGCTATTTCCGGATATAGGCCCATACAAATCTCGAAGGCCCGACCCACAAATATCAATCTTAGAACAAAATAACCCAAAACCTAAAACCGGCTCGGGTTCACTAACCGAACTAAACCGGCCAAAAGATGAAACCTTAGATGAAACCTTGATCTCCAATCAAACGACTCTACGGTGGCGGGATGGCAACGGATCTTGGATCACCATCTCGTTCGGCTCGCGTCGTTCAGGCTCACCGGAGATTTCGCTCCGACAAGAATCTGCAGTATTGTTACGCTTGCTCTTTTTCTAGGTATATTTGGTGTTTTTCAATGGTACGTTAGAAACACGAAACTTCAATGAAATTTTGAGATATGCATTTTTCATCGACGACTATAAAACATCTCATCAAGTCTTGTTTAAGGTTTACCAACTTAATTTTTAGTTTTCTATAAAAATTTGGAGAAAAGAAAAGACTAAGACCATCTCCAATGTAAAACTCTATATTTTTGCTCTAAAATAGAGTAACTCTATAATAGAGTAGAATTCTCTCCAATGTGTTACTCTATTCCTTGCTCTAAAATAGAGGTAGTGTAAAAAATAGAGGAAAATTATAGAGCAATCTTCACTTTTACTCTATTTTAGAGTAAAATATAGAGTAGCGCTGGAGAGAATTTTACTCTATATTAAAATTTAGAGGAAAAAATAGAGTGGGGTTGGAGATGCTCTAAGTCTCAATCTTTTCTTCGATGAGTGAGATTCCGTTTTTATTACTTCTCTTTCACAAGGTGTTTTACTAAACAACAGATAATGTAGTTGATCACTTTCTTTTGGTATGGCGTTAACTGATTAACTTTCGATGTATTTTCTGATTCTTTATACTTTTGTCACCAGTCGCGAAACTTATTTTGAGCGTTAGAAAATTTCTCTCAAGACATCCTCCATAGTGTTCAACGGACTGTCATATATATGTTTATTTTCTTGTATAGAGATTTATTCCTAACAACGGGATTTACACGACAAAAAAAATCTTAAACAGAAAAGAAAAATACAAGTTTGTGTAGAATAAATCACTATTTATTATTATTTTTTTACACTTTATAGTTTATAGTGACACTTTTTGTACTTTTCAAAAAATTTTAAAATTACATTCTAAAAGAAATTGAGATGTCGCAGAAACAAATGGGTATTACATATATACAAACAAAATTACAAACTAGTTGTATGCTCTTTTTCCTTATTTTAAGTCACTAAAACAGAAAACTTCAAAGACAATTCCATAGGTACAGTATATAAATAATTTAAATACAAAGTTATTTCCCTTTCATAAACAGATAATATACGTATTATTATTTATTACGCACAGATTTATATACCCAAAAATAGAAAATCCCGATCGCTCCAGCTTAGCCAGAGTCTCAGCTATTTCGATATTTTCCTTTTTCTTCACATCATCTTCACTATCCACAACTTATATTTATCCATGTACATATACACAAGACAAGGTCCTACCAAACCAGCATCAAAGAGCCTCTTGCACAGACTCATATATGCTTTAACATCTCTCGGCCGTTGAATCTTCCTTGTCATTCCTTGCATCACAGCCACTCGATCAATATACTCCGGATGCAAACCAGAGTCGATCATCGATACCAGTGTCTCTGCAGCTTCTTCAAAGTGCCCTCCTTTTACATACCCTCTGAGCAACCAAGACAGAGTCTTCTTCTTTCTCTGAGATCCCATGAACTCCACCCGTGTCAGAAGCCGTGAAACTGCATTAACCTCTTTCTGTGAAGCGCAGATCGCCATAACGATGTCGTGGAGATCAGCTTCGGGTTCTCTCCCTGCAAGTTTCATCTTCCAGAGTTGTTTCTCTGCTTCTGGTCCACGTCCCGCACATATATACATTGCGAGGAGCCTCTCATGGACCACCCCAATTATGGAATCATTTTCTTGACCTTCCTCAACCGCCCAAGTGGCTAATTGCAGTCCGCGGGATAATGTTTCCGATTGGTACTTCTCAATGAGTACCCTATCATGATCATCGATCTCAGCAACAAAACCAGCCCGTGTAAAGCGTTTCAACTCGCGTAATGTCTTCCCAAGACTATTCAGCTCTTTCACAATTGCTGTCATCGCAATTAGATAGCTATAAGCTTCTGGCTTCAGCCCTGAAAGTCTTAACTCCATAACCATATCAACTGCCTTCTTATAGTCTCCATCAACCTACAAACAAAAAAAAACACACTGCCACATTAACATAGCTAGACCAAAAAAACGATAACAATCAAGAAAGTCATCTTAACCAATTCATATCACATCTCACTGATCTCAAATCCACCACAAATGTAAAGATTATGAAAAAAGTTCAAAACTTTACCATCAATTTCCAAGCAAGATACCCAACTGGTCCACCTTTTCTACCTTCAGAACCACCACCAACAACACTATACCCAAAACCATCTCTCCTCCTTAAAACCTCCCTCACAAACAAAACCGCACTTTCTTTCTTCCCCATCTCACAATACAAAGCAATAACTTTCTCCATCATACTAAAACCAGGTTTTAACCCAACACAATCCATCTCAATCAATAAGTCGAACACTTGGTGTGCATCACATTCCTCTTGAATCAATTTCTTAACCCAACCACACATAATCGAAACCATTAACTCCATTATCTCTTCATCAACTCTATTTTCCTTTTTCAACCATTCAAACACTTCTAAAGTACACCAAGAATCTCTACCTTCTTGTGCGAAATAGACAAGCATCAATTGCAATTCTCGAGAAGATAATCGATGATTCATCTCTTCGAGAATATCTGATGGTTCTCTAGTCATCCTCTCTAATTCCTCAATCGCTTCGAAAAACCCTTCTCCTATTTCCTCTGCTTCTTCTTCTTCTTCCTCGCTTGTGATGAATTGGTCTAGCTCCACGGAACGAGATAATCCTCCGAGCTCACGAAATTTCCCAGCGGAGTAGTTTGATTTCAGATTGCAGATGATGATTCGGGAATTGGGTTTTACGCTGTGATTACGATGAAGTCGGGGACGGAATCTTCGGAGAGAAATCGGTGAGAAGGTCAACGAAAACGAAGCTAAGCCACGAACATAAGCCATAACTAAGGAATAAAAAAGCTTCAAAATTTTCTGGAGAAAGTTTCAAATTCGAAAACTTTGAAACTCAAAAGCTTCAGAGATTATGGTGTGAGTGATTTCTCGATAGCCACCATGAGAGAAGAAACTAAGATAATCCATGGAATTATCAAAAACCTCAAGAGGAAGGAAGAAGACAATGAAAGGATAACAGAAAATAATTATTTAATTTTTGTTTTTTGGTCGTAGGATTTATTTAATAAAATGAAGGGTTGAGATTGAGTGGAGTTTTTTAATCGAACGGTATATAATTGAGTCTTTGGTTTGAAGAAAGAGGCTACTAAGCGCTTACGTGTCATGTGGCGTCAACTTGTTTCATCGTGCCGCTTCAAAGCTCCCCAGCAGCAGAAATAAGAAGATACTAACGTTTAAAATTACGTTTATACCCTCCAATATATAACTAGTAACGTAGTGGCTGTTGTTGACCGTTAAAACGTGGTAAACGAGATAAATATATTTATGGGTCTATCTGGGCTAAGTTGGGCTTTATTAATGTCTCTTTTAAGGCCTTTTAATATCTTTAACATCCCCCGTTTTTGATGTTTTATGCGACAAAATTTGTTTTAAATTAGATGACCCCATGTTTTAAATTTTCAATTTATTTTGATTATTTATATTCTGCAGATACTATATTGAATTGTGTTTAGGTAAATAATAAATTATTTAAAATTGTTTGATGTTTTATGCGACAAAATTTGTTTTATATTAGATGACCCCATGTTTTAAATTTTCAATTTATTTTGATTATTTATATTCTGCAGATACTAGATTGAATTATGTTTAGGTACATAATAAATTATTTAAAATTGTTTAAATGTGTGAGAGTTCACTTCTATTTTCTTAATTGATTTCCTTAGTATTTTCATTGTAAATACTCTAGTCCAAAGGAATTCTTAATATAATTTCCATGTACCAAGGATTCATAAAGCTTAACTTCCAATTTCACGAAATTCTATAAGCTTCATCTAACTTGAAAGCCTTTGTAATTTGTAATTTCATTTGTGTATTTCATATCCGAGGATATTGTTCTCCACTCTAAACTTGTGCTCAATGTCAAGTTTGTTGTAGACCATCACTCGTAAAACTCAACAATGTTAAGAAATACTGCATAAATTAGGATAAACATCATCAAATAAAATCCATAAACCTTTTTCAAATGCTAAAATCAAAAAGAAAATTTGCTAATCTTTATTGAGTTACGTATTAGTTTTGGCTTTGGTTTGTTAAGTTAGTGAAGATATGATTCGTTCTCTACTTCTTCTCTCCACTCCCCAAACATCTCCCAATCATATTATTGTATGATTGTGCTTTTGGTCTGCCAACTTTATATTAGTATGGTAACAGAAATGGTAAGTTCATAATTTCTCTCCAATTAGTTGTATTTTTTGGGATAAAACTTTATTTCTATCTGTTTAAATCACAGATTAAACTATTCTTTAAGAAGCAGGAAACTTACATAATATAGTTACAATGACGAAATTAGTTTAGCTTGCATTATTATCATTCAATATATTCAACACATTTCTCTGAAATTACACTTGACAATGTACCGTCCACAATCGACGGATCTACCTAGCAATTCATAAAAACATAATCAATATGGAATTATATATGACCAACGAGTACGTGGTTCAATATATACAATCAAATAGCAAAAAAATTCATCATGAGGTATACTTGATTAAACATACGAAAACTACATTCATAATCTACATAATTACATATTCTGATGATTAAACCATATATCAATCAAGCTAACTTAGAAATACTAATCAATCGATCAACATAAAGATAAATAACGTACGCTTCCACATTTTTCTTTGGCATGTTTTTTTTTTTTTTTTTTTTGCTCTGAGCTCAGTCTCAGTAAACATTGGTGGCTGATATGGACTCGACAAAAATTGCTTTCTTTTATATGAAGGAAGCATTTTAGACAACCAGTTCCATTGTTCTTTTTTTTTTTTTTTTGCCAGTCAAAACACCATATATTAATTCACGGAATAAGACTCTCTTCTAGAAAGAGCCAATCAGGTACCGTCGAACTTACATGGGAAAAACAGAACCCGCGATTTCTTGCACATTTCGCAAGATAGTCGGCGGAGGTATTACCACTACGAGGGATATGCTTAAGACTAAAAGTAGTAAAACGATCCCTGTAATATGTAAAGTCTTTCAATTCTGTAGAAAACGTAGGCCACTCTTCAGGAGCACATGTCATAGCCAAAAGGTCAGAACAATCCGTCTGAATGAGGATACTCGTCATTGGGATCGCCAATAAGCACTTCATCGTCCATATGAGAGTATCCAGCTCTGCATGAAGGGGAGAAAGACTTCTACGCGAGCCTTTCAAGCCTAAGTGTAGCAATCGTCCTCCCTGAAAAACAAGCCACCCGTGTCCACTTCTAGTCTCCGTCCCGAGCCAAGACCCATCAATGGAGCATACCGGTATGTCCTCTGGGGATGGCGACTCGTGCGTACTAAGTACCAACTGGGTCTGAGGGTCTTCTCTCTGATTCTCCTCCACGCGCCTTCTTCTTGAGTTGCAAGATCTAGCGTTTCCTGAGGTGGTACGCTCAAATTCTCGAAAATCTTTCGATTGCACGCCTTCCAAATATACCACATAATTCATGGGAATACTCTTAGGCTCTCTTCATCCGCACCCGCCTCTTTACCCCGCCAATACAGATAATCTAAGTTATTGTAGAGCGACGCCGAGGGAAACAGCGCTGGGGAAGATGGGATGTTGGAGAGAGCCCAGACTTGTCTAGCAGGAGGACATTCAAAGAGCAAGTGGTTGATTGATTCTTCTTCTGCACCACATCTTGAACATCCTTTATCTCTACCAATATGGCGATAAAATAGCCGTTGGCTTGAAGCCAAGCAACCAGTAACACATTGCCACACGAAATGCTTTAATTTTCGCGTAGTTTTTAATTTCTAAGCTTGCGCCTTTAGTGTCGTAAAACTAGGTCCCTGAGAAGGGTGGTCGCAAACAGGGCGAGAAATACTTCTCGCGACCTCGTATCCAGATTTGACGGTATAATTACCAGACTTTGTCATTGTCCAACAATAACCATCACTCGAGACAATACGACTCGGTTTAATCCCTAATATGAGGGTAATTTCCTCCGGGGGAAACAATTCCCAGAGACGATCAATCTTCCACTGTTTAGATCCAAAGTCAATCAAGGTATTGACGCAAGCCAAAGGGTCTCTCTCCACCGTTAACCCCTTAGGTGGGCGTGCCAGAGTGTCTGGTATCCATGGGTCTGTCCAAATGTAGGTACCGAAGCCCGAGCCAATGGTCTTGCGGATTCCATATCTAAGAACGTCCTTGGCGGCCAGCATGCTTCTCCAACCATACGACGGTCGATTGGAGACGGTGATCTCTAGCGGACTAGAATACCGGAAGTAACGTCCTTTAAGAACCCTACTAAGGAGGGAATCTGGAAATCGTAATAATCTCCACAATTGCTTCGCCAAGAGTGCGAGATTAAAATCTTCCAAGGACCTAAATCCTAGCCCTCCTTCTGATAGTTGGGTGCAAATTTGGTCCCAAGCTATCCAGTGTATTCCACGACTTTCTGCTTTATTACTCCACCAGAAGTTGGCAATTGCGCTAGTAAGTTTAGAACAAATTGCTTTTGGCAGTAGGAAGCACGACATAACATATGTCGGAAGAGCTTGTGCTTGTGCTTTAATTAGGACTTCTTTTCCGCCTTTAGAGAGGAATTTTGACGACCACGAGTTTACTCTACTTTGTAATCTATCTCTCACAAACGCGAAGACCTGAACTTTTGATCCATGGATTTTTTCCGGAAGGCCTAAATATGTTCCCATCCCACCTTCACGTGAAATCTCAATAATCGATTTGATTTCCTGCCGTACGGGAGGAGGAACCTCGTTGCCGAACATAATGGATGATTTATTCAGATTCACCTCTTGGCCAGATGCCTCGCCATAAGAGCGGATGATATCGATAGTTCCATTGTTCCAAACTATCAGAATGTTTACTACAAACATGATTTCGTTCTTCTTCTTTTTTCAACTTATCCAAAATCTAGAATTTACTATATAGTTGTTATAGCGGCTGGAATAAAAACATTAATAAATTTCAAGGCAGAAACTATGACATAATAAGACATAAAAGGGAAAAAGAAAGAGAAGGGGACAAATGAAGAACGAGTGTTCACTTATTGTGTGGAGAGGTTGAGAGATCACTTCTCTAGTCGTTATTAGATATGGACTGAACATAGTCACTTATATTATAATTTACACTATATATTACACGATCTTTTTCGTTCGAAACAAAAAAAATATATAAAAAATTTATCCTTTAAAATTTTGCATTTCATCATTTGTTCTACAAATTGTCCATTTATACATTTAGGCGTCACTGATATATACAAATTGTCAGCGACTTAGACTGAAATGGTAAGAAACTTACTAAAATAAACTCAGGCGATTCTTTTAGTTGGTCGAGGCGATCGGCAAATGTTTTTGTAGTTATTTTTTATTTCTCTTCGACAAAATAGCCAAAATGGAAACGATATATCTTTGAACTGGTTAGGAAAAGTTTAATGCGAACACATAATTTAATTAGCACACCTAACAAAGATTTCAGATTTTATTTTGTCAAAATGTGAAATTAATTATTACTAAAAAATAATTGTGCATATATATCTAACAACATTAGTCAAATATAAAATTCTTTTAGATGGTAAATTCATAAACTGAAAACAATTACTATCTTATTAAAAGATTGAGTCAAAGTATGAAGGCAGGTTTCCAAAACTAATAGTAGTATAGGTTTTCAGATGGTATTCCGTATTCATGATTTCCTAATGAATAAAATTATTTCGAAAGACTTAAACTTTTGTTATTTAGAACTATTTAAATTAAATTTGTTCTGCTGCCAAAATCCTCTTTCTAGTCTACAATCTGAGAGATTGCACATAATTGTTTTCCTGGAGTCAATGAAATTGTGAAGTTATAGTAAACTTTTTATGAATTTTCTAACTAATATACAAAAACATAATGACATATCTATATTTTTAGTCCTCCGGACACTTTATTAACTTCCATATTGTGTGTCTATTTATAAGATTTCCACAATATAACATAGGATGGTTCTCCTCCTTGGATAAATTGCTATCACTCTTTTCATTTCATTTCCCCTATAGAGAAAGAGAAAGAGAGAGATAGAGAATAATGGTGGGGCAATGGGAGGAAGAAGTTGATGAAGAGGTGGTGATCAGATGCTACGATGATAGTAGGGACAGAATTCAAATGGGTCGTGTGGAGAAGAGTTGTGAGATTGGTCACGACCAACAAACTCTTCTCTTCACAGACACTTTAGGCGATCCCATCTGCAGAATCCGAAATAGTCCTTTCTTCATTATGCTGGTTAAAATCTCACTCTCTTTTTCTTTATGTTCTCTTAAGGATTATTCCTTGTTTTTAAATAAAAATCATACCAAAATATGAGATGGTTCTCTTCTTTCAAAAGCCTAAATGATAAAGAAGAAAAATACATTTTTGAACGACAATAATATATATTAGTGCATAATATTTATATATTTCCCTCGTTTTTTTAAGAATGTTATGAAATTACATTTTGCTTGAATGTCATTTTAAATTTCGTATTTTAAGATAATTCTATAGTGAGATATATCAAAATAGAGAGATGGGAAAAGTAAGATGTATTAGACATGTCATACATCTTAATTAATCTGTATAAATTTTTTAAAACATCATCTTTTTAAAAAAATATAGGTAATAAAACTACATTATTATGTAAGATATATAGTTGTCGTTCTTAGCTATAAAAACATATATGATTCTATTAGCCGAAAGACGCTAGGGTTCGTTAACTTTGTAATGTGTTAATTTATTTATGTATATATATAGTAATACGGATTATTAAGTGAAGTGCTATTGGGATTGATATAAATAACGTTTATCGAATTAATGTACATTAATAGGTGGCAGAGGTTGGGAACAAGCTGGTAGGTTCCATACAAGGCTCAGTAAAGCCAGTGGAGTTTCATGATAAGTCAGTGAGAGTTGGTTATGTTCTTGGTCTCAGAGTTGTGCCGCCGTATCGACGCCGTGGCATTGGTTCGATTCTGGTGAGAAAGCTTGAGGAATGGTTCGAGTCTCACAATGCTGACTATGCTTACATGGCCACTCAAAAGGACAATGAGGCCTCTCTCGGTCTCTTCGTCGGGAAACTTGGCTATGTGGTCTTCCGAAACCCCGCAATCCTGGTCAATCCTGTCAACCCCGGCCGCGGTTTAAAATTACCGTCTAACATTGGAATAAGGAAGCTAAAGGTGATTTTACTACACATTGCTTTAGTATGAAACTCTCATTGATAAGAAAAGTACTTAAAACATTTTTGTATTTCTAGCGTGAAAATTAAATCCATCATATATAAAGACATTAATAATATAATGAGAAAGCTACCAAAAACAAAAAATAGAGCTTAAACACATATCACAAAAATGTATAGCATAAAATTAACACTAACACTAACCAAAAAATTTAAGTGACAGGTGAAAGAGGCCGAGTCATTGTACCGGAGATATGTAGCAGCTACGACAGAATTTTTCCCGGAAGATATTAACAAAATCTTGCGGAACAAGTTAAGTATCGGGACATGGTTGGCTTACTACAATGATGACAACACCAGAAGCTGGGCAATGCTTAGTGTTTGGGATAGTAGCAAAGTCTTCAAACTTAGGATCGAGAGAGCTCCTTTGAGCTATTTGCTTCTCACTAAAGTTTCCAAAATTTTTGGTAAATTTTTGTCGTTATTGGGATTAACGGCTATGCCGGATCTGTTTACTTCGTTTGGGTTCTATTTCCTTTATGGGGTTCACTCGGAAGGTCCACTTTGTGGGAAACTAGTTAGGGCTTTGTGTGAGCACGTTCATAACATGGCTGCATCAGATGACAGTGGTGCGTGTAAGGTTGTGGTGGTGGAGGTCGACAAAGGAAGTAACGGCGATGATTCTCTACAGAGATGTATTCCACATTGGAAAATGCTTTCGTGTGACGATGATATGTGGTGTATATGCCGTTGAAATGCGAGAAGCAGAAGATTGGTTTGAGTGAGAGAACAAAATCGCGGTCTTCGCTCTTTGTGGATCCAAGAGATGTGTAGCTAGCTAGCTACCGAGATTCATCGCGTGTTTTATCCAACTGATAATACACCTAATAGCAAAATATGCGAAATCGTTTCGCTTTTTCCTAGATTAATGACTAGACATTAAAGAAATTATGCAATTCCGTGACTATTTTTGGTGAAATTATGTTTTTTGCTTGATGGTTTTGGTATACTACCATTCATTTTTATTGATTCTTCTGTTCCGTATAGTATTAACGAAAGAAGCCTAATAGTTAGACTACATTTAAGAGATTGTACCGCCAAATGATATCTTCAATCAAATGCTAACACTTGCGCATGTCAACCGTCAAATCTCCAACCGTCGAACCGGACAAAAATCAAGGATCATCTATCAACCAAGAACAATCAAACCATATATCGACTCACAAAACGTTAAGATTATCAATATATGAATCCAAGACATGTTGTGGGGTTTGAGTTTGCATTTTGCTTGGCATGACATATCGAGATCATGAACCCTACATATAGTTATATAATTATGATTTTTGTTTTATTTCGGGATCTAATGTATGATAAATCATTGTTCTCCATATAAAATCTAAAAAGATTTCCTCAAGTAGGTGCCACTATTTGTTGTCCTTGGCATTCTTCCTATCTTGTTTGAGCTATAAAGTAGTTAAAGAATAGTCAATTTTCATATGTTTTTTATTTGATAAATAAATATATTTTCCTCGAATCATTGTTAATGGTAAATTTGTAATGTACATATATATTTCTCAATATTCTGTGAAATTAATACGAAGGAAATTGGTTGTGCAGATGATGGTGGTCCTTTATGTTCCCTTTTTATTAGGTTTTAAACCGAATTTTTATTGATGGGCCGTCTTCTATTTTAAAGATAGATATAACTCATTTCCTGATTAGTCGAATTACTCCATGTGATATTCATATGGCTCGCACAAATTTATGTACATGTACATTAATGTGTGTATATATGTTTAGTATTACTAAATCGAGTGGAGGGAATTATTGTTGAAGCTTTTTTGTTTTCTTTTAACGTCAATATACAGAGGTATTTAAAACACGTTCATGCAGCCAAACTTAGCTTTATGAGAAAATCATATATATATATATATATATATATATACACATACTCTCTAATTTTTTTTTTGTTAAAGTACTCTCTAATTTTATTGTAGAAGAATGTTTTTTTTTTCCTTTGTTTCATATAAATAATATTTTCCAATTCATATATGAATTTCTTCTTCTTTTTCAATAGTTTACCTCTTCATAATTATCATTTATAAGTTAACATATCATAAATATCATGGATGATATGGTATTCAATTATTATATATTTGGAGTATGTATTTAATTCATTGCAATGGACAATCGCTTAAATTTTCATTTTCGAGCAACACAATAACACATGCATGACGACAAATATAACTACTCAAAACAACCAATAAATATAATGAAATGATAAATTTATTGGAGCTGAAACAAAAATAAATAAATAAATTGGGAAATTAATTCATACACTGAATTTAATGAGATTGAAATTGAATTGATGTCGTGATGTCCATAAATTTAACGTCGATGAAATGGAAACTCACTAAGGCTATTCTCTTATTTAACTGTAGATTTGAAAAAATATACAAGAAAAATTTACATTTTATTTTCGATTATTGTTTTGTCCAAAAAAAAATATTTTGATGTTGTTAGATGATCTTTTGATAATAATTCAATAATAGATATTTTGATCTTTAGTAAAAATATAGATATAGTTTTCATACTACTGATCGATTTTAAATACACAATTATTTACTATGAAATTCATATAACGGATGCACAATAAATATAGTCTAAAATAAATAATTTTTGAATGTTAAATGTATATATATACATAAAGATGAGAAATCTGAATTTGTTTCTTGGTTTCAAATTAACTCTAACTCTATACTCAACTTTATATTGATAATTTACTTCACATGTTAGGAACATGTCAACTTCATTAGCAATATAATGCAACGTTTCTTTTGTGTTGATAACATATCTAATGAAATGCTGATCAACCAATAGATATAAATCTATAGTTATTTCTGGATATTAAATACTAATTAATCACCCCAATCGCTAAATTGTGTTTTTGTGAGAGGCTTCAAATCAATAGTCATAATCTGAATACCTTAGAAAGATAAAGCAGCCCGCAGTTAGGTGTTGATGTCCTCTTGCCAAACAAGGAAGCTGATGAGTGTACTTTATCTGCCCCCATCTTTCTGCATAAGTCGAACCAATTATTGGTTGAATTTATCTCATTTTGATTTTAATTTTCAAATAGTTGTAGGCTTAGCAAAATAATAAGTGGTGGCACATTAAAATGTGGTGCATTGTTGTGTGGTTCAATGGTACCGTACTATAATCCGAATATTTTCACCATTCTCTGATTCATTTTGTATGGTATTGTGCGAGATGGTGCTGTTGCGGGACGGTGTGGTGCAAAGGTTCGGGTTCGGATATCGGCAGGTCCAGCGTTGGTCCAGCACAAGAGGTGCATTTGCACCTTGTCCAGCCCAAATTCAAAATTTTGTCTCTTTTTTTTAGTCCATATAATTTAACAAAATTTGAACTAATAAGACTATTAGACTTTAACTTAAACGCTAAACATATAGTTGCATTTTTTTTTATTTTTTTTTTGTAACTCCAACATCAAATGGATTCTTAAAAGTTTTACTCTTTATTTAGGAGTTTGTTTTCACCACCACACCGGATCTAGCTAATGATTGAGATGGGTCTTGATATCGGATTTCGGTTTTTTGCCCAATCCTACCATTTAAAATAGCAAAAACCTGCATAGTATTAATATATATGAACATTTTGATTAATTCTCTTAAACTATAGTAATAGCACATCGGCGTGAATCAAAAATCCATAAACTGATCCGCAGTACCTGGTGGTGTAGAGAACTTATATCTTTTACATCAAAAGATCTCACTTTTAAAGTGCATAGTATTAATATATATGAACATTTTGATTAATTCTCTTAAACTTTAGTAATAGCACATCGGCGTGAATCAAAAATCCATAAACTGATCCGCAGTACCTGGTGGTGTAGAGAACTTATATCTTTTACATCAAAAGATCACTTTTAAAGGTTATAATTCCAAATTATAATTCCAAAAAAAAGGTTATTACAAATTAGGAATCTATATTTGCTTTGAATTGATATCCCAATTATTGGGCTTAAAACTATTGAAACTTATTTGGTTGGGAAAAGGTCCATAGCACGATGGTCAAAGCTCAAACACAGAAAGTAACTTCTTACCGATAGTGAATCAAACTGAACCACTAATCCACTCTGCTTAGTTAAGTATTATTAATTAAGAAGATAACTCCTTCATTTAGATAACTATTAATAAATCCTTTGATGTTTTGTAAGAATAAACTGAATTTATATTTCTTTCTTTTATATCAATTATTAAACGACAATGAATTTGGTTTTGTGTTTTTTTTTTTGACGTCTGGATTTATTATTTATTGCAAATTATGAGAACTGTTACATAGACGATTCTACAACGGACAATTCCTTCTGACCCTTATTAGATCCACGACAGACAATATTTCCTTCTTCATGCTCTTGACGGACACCTTCAATGATCCACGACCTGACGACACTTCTCTCTCTGCGTAGAATCCTGGCGAACGGCTATAATTGTACATCGCTGAAGATCTCCTACACACTTCCTTCTTCATCGCTGTATAATTGTGTTTTGTTAATTAATTAATTTTTTTTAACCTTAAACATAATTCTAACCGGACTAATATCAAGCCTAACTAAACCCAATCTAAAATAAACTGAAATGCCATCTCAAGCACAAACAATTTGGGCTCAGGCTACTCAGCCCTAATGGGCTTTAAAACGGCCCATAATAAGTCAGAACAAAGAACAAGTAAATCAATCTCAAAAATGTCATCTTCTTGAAAGAAAGCAAAAGAACAAAAACAAAAAAATGGAAAAAGAATAAATTTCCTTTATAATTTCCCAATATCAAAAATGGAAGTCTTACTCAACAACGCACTTCTTTAATAACCGTTTGACGTGTAAGTGGTCTGCGCACTAATCTCTCTCTCTCTCTCTCTCTCTCTCTCCCTTCTTCTTCCACAAATCATCATCATCAATGGCTTCGTGCGTCACCGGAACAGAGGCGGCGATACGAGCAGCGGCTTGTAGAGACGGCGACGCAGCCTCTCATCTAAAGATAGTCGCCGTCTTCGCCATCTTTCTCACAAGTGTTTTCGGTGTTTGGGGACCGGTTTTACTCGCTAAATACTTTCACGGTAAACCTCTCTACGATAAAGCGATTCTTGTGATAAAGTGTTTCGCCGCCGGCGTTATTCTCTCGACGTCTTTAGTCCACGTGTTACCGGAAGCGTTTGAGTCACTCGCTGATTGCCAAGTGTCATCACGTCATCCGTGGAAAGATTTTCCGTTTGCTGGTTTGGTTACTATGATCGGAGCTATAACGGCTTTGTTGGTTGATTTAACGGCGAGTGAACATATGGGACACGGTGGTGGTGGTGGCGGAGAAATGGAGTATATGGCGGTTGGGGGGTTAGAGATGAAAGAAGGAAAGTTTGGGGCTGATTTGGAAATACAAGAAAATAGTGAGGAGGAAATTGTGAAGATGAAACAAAGATTAGTGTCACAAGTTCTTGAAATTGGGATAATATTTCATTCGGTGATTATTGGAGTAACTTTGGGAATGTCACAAAATAAGTGTACCATTAGACCTTTGATTGCTGCACTTTCGTTTCATCAGATTTTTGAAGGTTTGGGTCTTGGTGGTTGCATTGCTCAGGTTAGATTTTTTCTTTCTTCAATTCTTATTTTTAATTTTTTGGTAAACTAATTATTGCAAATTTAATTAGAGTTTAAATAGTTAGGGGACAATAATAAATATAGTGAGAAAATAGTACTAGTTGTTGGTTCTGACTTTTGAAATAATGATTTTTAAGAAACCTAGAAGAAGTAATAGTTTTGATAGATGTTGACATTTTTGCATATCATAGAATGTGACATTCTAATTTAGAGCTGCTCATGGTTTAAATCAAAACCATACCAAGTATCCGAAAACCGAACCAAATGTAACATTTGTGAGTTTCATGGATAGTGTTTTTTTTCATAGGGTTAATATGTGATATTGTTTGATGGTCAGGCTGGGTTTAAGGCAGGGACAGTGGTGTATATGTGCTTAATGTTCGCGGTAACGACGCCTCTTGGGATTGTACTAGGGATGGTGATATTTGCAGCGACCGGGTACGATGATCAGAACCCGAACGCATTGATAATGGAGGGTTTATTGGGATCATTCTCTTCAGGTATTCTAATATACATGGCCTTGGTTGATCTAATTGCATTGGATTTCTTCCATAACAAGATGTTGACGACAGCCGGTGAATCGGGTTCTCGGCTCAAGAAGCTCTGTTTTGTGGCTTTGGTTTTAGGTTCTGCCTCTATGTCACTACTTGCTCTTTGGGCTTAAGACAAAAATAGAGGTTTATATACTAATTTGGCCAAATATTATGAATATCTAAATCTGTTTTAACATATTTGAACTTGGTTTACTTTATAAATATATATCTAATTACAGATTTATCATTTCTTGATTTTCCATTCATTAACCGTAAGTATATTTACACATTAAAACTTTTGCTAAAAAAACAACTGAAAATGAAGTTAGATCTCTCTCTATAGTGTACTACTACTACTAAACCGTATTAACCTTATGTTAAAGCT